TTTTCTCTGAATGAATTGAACAACTAAAGCTGAATTTTGTGAGCTGGAATTGATTGAACTCCAGCTGTTTTCCAACTTATTGGATATACTTTGAACTACCTGGAAATATTTAGCAATAAATCAAATTTCTTGATGGACTAAACGGCAGAAAAGCCGATTATCTTTAAATGTCTCCTGACTTTTACTCATCTGAGTCAGATAAAAAGCCTTTGTTGGGCTCTTTTTGTCAGAAATGTGTCTTTTAAAGGGTTTTTCTAGATGTCCATTCAAGTGGACAGCAAACATTTTAAGATTTGACACATATTGAATTTTTTATGTAATAATGTGAGGATTTTTTAACATTTTTAAACAGAGTTCATAAACATAGAACTCTGCTCTCATCATATTAGAATATTCTCTATTATTTTCCTCCCTTTTCTCCCTCCTGCTTCATTTATTTAAATCCATCTCAGCTCCCCTTTAAAAGGATTTTATGGACATTTTGTGCATTCACAACATAAAAACCCATAAATACACAGAAGAAAAAGGCTTTTAAATAGCCGTCCGCCGTAATAACCACTAAGCATGAAAGGGTTAAAGCAGTTTTTCAGGTTTCATCCCATAAAATCCAGTAAAATGTGCTCAGAATAAACTAAATCTAGTTGTTTTTGAGCGTATTCAGATCCTGGAGTGGACTCCACTGGTGGGAATAATGAGCCTTATAGAGGATGGAAGTACTCAGAAGTCTGTCTGATCTCAGTGAGGTTTATTTAGAGCCTCGCTTCTTCTTCTTTTGCCTTTTCGGGCTCCCAGAGAGGCAAAAACAGCTGGATTTCTTCTTCTCTGACCTTAAAGCTACAGTCAGACTAACTGCAGGTGAGAATGACTCTAAATCTCTTCTTTAAACTGCCACCCCCCCACTCATTGTGTAGATAAGAGCTGGATAGCCTTCAGGATGAGGGGAGGAACGTCTAAAGACCCAAGAAGAAGAAAAAGAAGGAGTCCAGCTGGCTTTAGTTAGAGGATTATTATGACCTGGATGATCTACACCAGCCTTGATTTCACTTTCCTAAAGATTTGTGTTTCTTTGTGTTGTCAAATCTTGTCAAAATGTGGTGACTTTAACTCAAATTGTAGACAAAATGAGCCATTTTATGATGAAAAAATGTTATAAAATGTAATAAACTATCTACAAATCATCTGCTAATTGCCTTTTTTAAAAACTGTGTAAACAGAAAAAGATCATTTTTAACACTTTGAATGACATAATATAAATGAGAGATGTGTCTTTAAACCATGTGAGGACTTGATGATGGTTATGAGCACGATGACCTGCGGAAAAGTGATTTTTTTGTGTTGTTTTTGTTACTAAGTTTGACTGGTAAATCTCTTTTTGTCTTTATAAAAATACACTTATGTCTTCAACACCATGTAAAACGTGGCAAAATTAAATAATTTGCATTTATTCCCTCTGCGAGTCAAACTTAATTATTGATATTATCACTACCACTTATTTAGACCTATATATATACATATAGTTATTTATGTATATATTCATCTATATTATATGTGGAATTTTGTATATATTTTGTATATATATGTATGTATGTATATATATGTATATATGTATATGTATGTATGCCGTTGTTTTATTTCTGGAGTTAGTAACAAAAATAATTTCCCTCAGGGATTATTAAAGTATTTCTTATTCTGATTCTGATAAATACGCAATAAAGATGATTTTTGTTGGCAAAAAACAGACTTTTTTTCACACTTTCTCACAGTTTTTGCTTCGGTGAGATTTCTCTCTATCGTTCCTGTCACGTCTGGGGGAATGTCTGGTGTCTCGTCATGTGTTGATTACCTATTGTGTTCACCTGGGGTTCCCCTCCCTCATGTGTTTAAATAGTCCTCGTTTCCCATGTCCTGTGCTAGTGCGTTTTCGTCTCTCGTCTTTCGTCTCCCCACGTCATGTAAGGGTTTTTTGTTACTTTGCCATAGCCTTGTTTACTCCTTGATATTTTGCCACAGTCTGGCTTTTCATACCATAGTCTTATTTTTGTCACAGCCTTGCCATAGCCTTGTTTTGACCACAGCCATGTTAACCCTGTTTTTACTTTTGCCACAGTCTTGTTTTGATACTTTGCCACAGTTTTGTTCACCTTGCTTTGTTACTTTGCTCATAGTTTTGCCACAGCCTTGTTTTTGAACCCATGTCTGCCATCCACTCCTTTGAGTGCCCTTTTGTTCCGATAAACCCTGTTTTCACGAAGTTAAGGGGGGACTGAGTCCCCTCTCCAAGATCCACCCGCCTGACAGTTCCTAAATATGTGTATATATAATAATTTCCCTTTGGGATTTTTAAAGTATGACTGACTCTGATTCTGAGAAATATGCAATAAAGATGATTTTTGTCGGCAAAAAACAGACAATTTTCAACACTTTCTCACAGTTTTTGCTTCGGTGAGGTTTCTCTCTATCGTTCCTAAATATGTGTGGGAGTTTCTCTATTTCCTGGTGAACCGGGTGGGTGTGGACTCACCTCCAGCAGCGATCCGTAGCAGGTGGTCCCGTCCCCCGCATAACCGTCTGGACAGGTACAGGTGTGAACTCCACCCTCCCTCAGCTCACACTTAGCCTGACACACAAAAAAACATCCTCTCATGGAGCAGAAAGCAGAGCACAAAGTATAAATCCAACACGGTGGATTTTTATTTTTACTCCTAATAAGCTCTCATCTGAATATCCTGACCAGGTGGTGAACCCTGTAATGCCAAACGTATCATATTTGATACATACGGTTTCTGAAATGTTTTGCATCTGACACCTTTTGCATAATTTAATGGTAAAAACTTTGTTCAAAATCCTATTGTACACAATCAGATACACCTGATAACAGGGGGCAGAAGACTACACAAAAAATAATCTTCACTTATCGCATAGTAATAAATTATTAATATAAAAAATGTATTTCTGTTTTTTCTTTTTACATATTTTGTTAAAAGGTAAAATAATGAATTCAAACCCAAAAAAAGTATTTTTCTGTTTTGTTTTATTTTTGGTTCAGGCTTTAAAGGGCTAATAAGTTCTCATCTGAATATCTTGATCAGGTGATTAATGCAAAGAGGATTTATTCACATTTTATTCACATTGAACCGAGAAAAATAAAATAAAATAAAAAGCCTTTGTTGGGCTCTCAGAAAAATCCATTTAATGAGATTCAGTTGTGTTAAAACAGGGAAACATCTGAAAACTCAGAAGATTCTGAGCGTCCATTTTTTTAGAGGAAACCTTATTTTTAATTATTTTCTCTGAATGATTTTAAATGAATTGCATTTTGTGAGGTGGAATTGATTGAACTCCAGCTGTTTTCCAACTTATTGGACTCGTAACTGGTTGAATCGAACTTCTTCTTTGAGCTACCTGGAAATATTTAGCAATAAATCCGATTTCTTGATGGAATAATCGGCAGAAAAGCCGATTATCTTTAACCGTCTCCTGACTTCTCCTCATCTGAGTCAGATAAAAAAGCCTTTGTTGGGCTCCCGGAAAAATCCATTTAATGAGATTCAGAGTCTGAGTGGGAAATTCTGTAGAAAATCACTGAGAAATCAGCTTTTTAGATCTTTAGATAAAGGGAAATCAAGTAGAATAGCTTTTTTAGGTTTTTCGATTAAGGAAAATAATTGAAAAATAATCTTTTTAGGTCATTAGATGAAGGAAAATCACTGAAAAATCTGCTTTTTTAGGTCTTTAGATGAAAGAAAATCATTGTGTTCAAAGAGCTCAGAAATCTCACCTTTTCCTGCTTTTTGAACGTTTTAAATCTAGAGGAAAATGATTTTAGACATTTCCCACCAATCACGTTCTGATTGTAGAATTAAAAGGTTGTAAATAAGTCATTTGGACCCTCAGAAACAAACGGCAAAAACATGTAATTAAATCTGTAAACAGACATTTTAAATCTAAAGATAAACCCACTGAGCCTCTATGAAGAAAAACTACCTGAACCAGGACAGAGTCTAGTTATTGAACTGATCGGCTGATGTTTATTAAGTAGGAATAAGGTCTTAGCTCTGTCACACTGGTAGCCAAGTAATCCACATTTCGTTGTCAAGATTCACCTCATGTTTTTTGTACAATGACAATAAAGGAAGTCTAAGTC